TGGGACACCCAGTATACATTGAATAGAAATGGTAGAAGTAGACAGACTTGTTTCTGATCTTAGGGGAAAGTATTCCTTTTTTTTCTGTCATTAGGTATGATGTTAGCTGTAAGTTTTCTGTGGCATTGATGCCTTCTATCAAGGTGAGAATAATTCCTTCTATTCCTAGTTTGATGAATTTTTATCAGGAATGGATACTGAATTTTATAAAATGTCTTTTCTATATCTATTGAAATTACCATGTTTTAAAATTTTTAGTTTGATGTGAATTACATTAGCTATTTTTAAATGTTAAACCAAACTTGCATTCCTAGTTTTAAAAAGGAAGTTATACAGTTTGAAGGTGGTAGAGTAATGATGATAGTTTTCCATCTTGGAAATCACCCAAGTAAAGATGAAAATGAGGAAAAAAATGCAAATATTATGTCTGATGAAATCAGGAGAGAATAGAAACTATAAACAAATTAGGTGGACAGAGTGAAAAAAAAAAAAAGAGTGTACATGGAGTAGAAATTGGTATATCCACTTTGGAGATTATCAGGGAGCATTTACTAAAGTTGAATAGATACATACTTTATGACCCAACAGTTCCACCTAAGAAACAAGTACATCTGTCTACCAAAAACCTTAAACAAAAGTGTTCATAGATGCTTTATTCATGGTAACCCAAACCTGAAAAGAATCCAATTGTCTATCCACAGAATAAATTGTTGTCTATCAGATAGGATAGTACACACTAATAAAAAGTCATAAATTACTGATAACCTGGATAAATCTCACAGATGTAAATTGGGGAGAATCCAGACACAAGAGTGCATTTTATATGATTTTGTTCCTTATAATTTCAAGAACAGGCTAATTTATAAAGCAGGTATGGTGGCTCCCATCCGTAATCCCAGCTAGTCAGGAGGCTAAGACAGGAGATTTCAACTTCAAAGCCAGCATGGACAATTTAGGGAGACCTGTCTCAAAATCAAGTATGAAAAGGGCTGGGGATGTAGCTCAGTGGTCGAGTGCTTCCCAGTATGTGAGGCTCAGGGTTTGATCCCCCATATCACACATACATGTGCACACACCTTTTGGGGGAGGTATTTAATGAGAAGGGGCACAATGGGAAATTTCTGGGATTGTGGAAAAGTTCTACATCTTGACCTGGGTTGTGGTTACATGGACTCACATTTGTAAAAAATTAATTGAGATATACTCTCTAGATTTGTGCAACTGGGCTAGGGTTGTGGCTTAGAGGTAAAGTGCTTGTCTAGCATGTGTGAGGCACTGAGTACTGAGTTTGGTCCTCCGCACCACATAAAAATAAATAAATAAAAATAAAGGTACTGTGTCCATCTACAACCATATATATATATATATATTTTTTTTTAAATAAAATTTAAAAAAAAATAAGGCTGGGGATGTGGCTAAGTGGTTCAGTGCCCCTGAGTTCAATCCTTAGTAACTGCACCCCCCCCACAAAAAAAGATTTGTACAATATATTGTATGTGAATTATGTCAATTAACAAGGAATCAGGGTTTCCCCCCCACACACAAAATAAGAGTAGTTTAATATGAAAACATAAAAATGATTTAATAAAAGAAACAAAAATAGAATTCACTGTATAAACAGAACAGAGCAGAATAACCAATTAGTCCTCATAATAATAAAAAGCAGTTTTATCATCTGATATCCATTCATGATCAAAACTGTTAGTAAACTAAGAATGGACTTTTTTTCTTTCTAGTACTGGGGATCAAACCTAGGACCTCATGTATGTTAAGCAAGAACTCTACCACTGAGCGTATCCCCAGCTACTGGAGAGGGATTTTCTTAACTGAATAAAGATTACTTGTAAAAAACCTAAACAATATCATAATTTTTAACAGTGGAAATTTAGAAGCAATTCCTTTTAAATCAGGATCCAGTTGAAAATGGTTAAGAACAGCAATTCCACATACCTTTGTTTGGGAATCTGAGTGCAGAGTAAGATGAGGAATACACAGGAAGACAGCCCATTCTAACATCTGTCTTTCAGATTCACCTGGTTTCCTTCAGTTTAGAATTTCATAACTTTCATGTGTTACAAATATTTTACAAGTACACAATAAAAATTTTAAAAACTTGAACAATTTTTAAATCCCATTTCATTAGGCTGAAAGATGCCAGATTATAAGAGAGTACCTATTGAATGATTCCACTTATAAAAATTCTATAAAATGCAAATTGGTCTGCAGTAACAGAAAGCAGATCAGTATAATGGTTGCTTGGGGACAAGAGCAAGAGAATGCAAGGAAATTGTAGGCGGGGTAAGAGGGAGAAATTATAAAGAAGTAGAAGGATAAATCTGATCATTTTAGGCTGGTGTGGTGGTGCTCACCTGTAATCCCAGCAGCTTGGGGGAGGATTGAAAGTTTGAGGCCAGCCTCAGCATCTTAGCAGGCCCCTAAACAACTTAGCAAGACTCTGTCTCAAAAAAGTAAGTAGAGCTGGGCTGCAGCTTCGGGGTAAAGTCCCCAGTATAATAATAATAATAATTAAAAAAAGATTATCTTGATTGTGATGATAGTTTCACAGATGTATACATTATCAAACTGTACACTTTAAATATATGCAGTTTATTGTATATAAATTACACTTCGATAAAGCTGACTTAAAAAAAAAAAGAATAGGTGCATTTACTTGCAATCAGAGTTTATCTTTCACTAGAGCATGTCTTAGATGTATCTGACATATGAACTGAACACAAACTGAACACAAAACCTATGCCACAAACTGAATAATGTAACAGAAGGCAAGTTATCTACTTTTGTTGGAAAACTTCCATTTTAGATCAAATGTTTTGAAAAAAGCAATTCTACTAGTTTTAACTTTTCTTAAAAAAAAAAATATTTCCCCTCTGGAAAGTAAAGGTTGATATCAGAGTAAAGTGCTCATACATTTTTTTGCTTCTTTTAGAATATCTTGGTATGGCAAAGGAATGGATCTAATTCTTTGAAAACCAAGATTCAAAAAACAAAACCAAGATTCCATGAGGAGACAATGCAAGACTGTCTTACTGAATGACTTGTTAATGGTCAATCATGGTTTCTGAGACAACACAGTTTGAATTCTGTTGAGAGCCAATAGTGGGCCTACATACTGGGGCAACATAAGATTTCCATTATTTTTGCATCTCAAAATAAAAGCCAGGAAATAATTTAAATGCAAATGATGGCGTGTATAAATCTATTTTTAAGTTTCTTGTTACCCAGTCATGATTGAATAAAATCTGTAATAGAGGAGCCAAATTTTTACAGGTGCTTTATACTACATGCTTATATGACAACAAATTGAAAATAATGTCTTTATTCTATTATGATAAAATTCAAATTTAAAGAGAATAGGATATTTAAGCACATTTTAATTTTAAAAGTGAAAAAATTAAGGCTAAAAAGGGTCAGGACATAGATATAAAGTAATTCACATTGCAAAATGGGGTAGAAGTGAAAGAGGTAGAATGCAGGGGAGGTTGAGCACGTGGAAGAGTCTCAAGATTGCTTACAGAGTGAGAATTCCAGAGTCAGGATGGAGTTCCAGAAGCAAGTGGAAAAACCCTGGAATTACTGAATAGGAGAGGTGACAGGGAATTCCTGGAGAACAATATGGCAAGCAACAGAGAAGGCCCAGCAAGCCTGGACAGCTCACATTGTTTTTATCCTGCAAATCAACCCAGGTGCACACTACTTTCTAGCAACAGTCAGAACCTCCAGAATTAAAGGTGCAAAAGTGTCTGGACACAAGAAAGGGTTTTGAGAAAGAAAGGCATAAAGCAGCGGCAAGGGGCTGGGAAAAGTAGATGCAGTTGAAGGGCTACTCCAGGATGGGTTTTGCTAAGGAAAAAAACTTCTTTTTCTGCAAAGAAAATTATCTATTCATATCTCTTTAAAAAATTTATTTTTGTTACGTGCCCTTTGTTTGTTTATGCCAACGAAATTCAAAAGTATTTGTTTCAGGCACTGGGTTGGTACCAAGACTGCTCTTCTAAAGGGTTTTATCAACTTGGGTTGCCTGTACCTGTTCCTCAGCACCAATGTGTTAATCACTTCCTTTTGCTTCCATTTAGTCTAGTAGATTGCTAGCCAGAATCAACAATTTTATGATCTACTATTTATCTCCTTTTGTGTTAGACATTAACATCCTTTTCAAAGGATTCATTAATAAGAATGGGAAGTGCAAGAATCATGTGCCATGCCCTCCCTCCATTCTACTTATTTAAGGGATCTTCATTTTTTTCTGCCACTACATCACTCATTAGCCCACTGCCATGTTCCATCCTGGACGCCTCCTGCCACTTCAGCCCAACATTCCACTGCTGATGCTCTTTGTAGGATCAGAATCCAAGGGTCAGGATCACTTGTCAAAGCTGAACTGCTGTACCTCTCTCTGCTTTTCTTAACTTCCACGTGGAGTTCAGCAAACCCTCTACACTACTACTCTGGTCCCGCAACCATGTTGGATTTCTTCTTTTGATTCCCACAACCAAAAGTTGGTCTTCATTTAATTTGTTCCCACTGCACAATACATCAAGTAAATAGTGAGTTTCTAACTGGTCTCCCACTTGGATTTGGGAGGTTCCGCTTTAGTTCTAAACACTTACTGAGTGCCACCATGGGCTAAGAATTATGCCAGATAAAGTTATCTACCTCCAGGGATAGATGAATATTGAATATATACATGATTACATGCAACTGGGAAATATAGATAAGAATTAGCCAGATCCAAAATTTTAGCCCTTGGTTTTTCTCAGGTCCAAAGAGCTGCTGACAATAAGAGACCTCTCCAAAATCTTTGCTAAATTTATGTGTTTTAGTAAAGATAGACATGAATGTGTTAGACAGCAGAAGAGCACATTCAGTGATTTCTAAATAGTGTGGCCAAATTTCCAATATCAGAGAAAGTGAAAGGCAACCTGACCAACTCTTAAGACCGTGGTTTGGGAGGCCCACTCCCTTTATACAGAATATGTCACTCTGTCCTTCCATGCCTTTATTGGTGACAGCAATGGACAAGAACAATGCCAGGCCCAACACCTGGGGTGCCAAGCAGGCCCTGCAGGGCTCCTGGCACATCCAGCCCCCAGCCCAACATCCAATCTACCCAGGCCATGTTCCCGAATGGGCATGTCCCCGTCTGTCCAGTTTGTATGTGTGGATCAGTCTGTCTGAGTGCCTGAGCCGTTGCCTACAGGGTCCCACCATCCTTGGCACATGGTAGGGGCTGTTGGGAACACAACGTGGCATTCCCCGGTGGACCACTGGGCCTCGGTGCTGACCATGGGAGACAGGGCCAGGGACTGGAGGTGGCAGGGGGCCAGGCACAAAGTTCACTCCAGGGCCACATCCTACAAAAGAACCAGCTGTCAGAGTGGGCTTCTGACCAGGGTGAGCAAAGCTCTGCCTTCAGGCAGCTCTGGTCTGCTAGGGTGATTTCTCTTGGCTTTGGTTTCCTCATTTGCAAAATGGGGATACCACTTCTCCTACCTCCAATGGGTAAATTATGATAATCAATGAACTGATTAAAGAGTCTGTAGGTACTATTCCAAATTGAGGGACTACTGTCACCAAACTCAATCCTGGGGGCAAAAGGAGTACCCAACTCCTCTCGGCTTACCTGGGTACAGCAGGCTGGGCTGGGGGAGGTACAAGGGGAGACTGGGAGAGGTGTTAAGGGGGGTCACAGAGGCACCTACCTAGGTTGGGTGGCATCGAGAAGTCCTCCATTGGATTGTAATTGAAGAATTCATGGGGTGGAAAGGGCTGGCCTGGGAAAAAAGGGGCATCCTGGGGCAGGGGTGGGAACAAGGGAGGTGGTGAGGGCTGAGGAAGAGGATAAGGAAAAGACATGGGAGGGGGTAAAGGAGAGGGTGGGGGTGGAGGCAAGGCCAGCTGCTCCCCGAAGTCTGGGGACTGCCTATGGCTTCCCTGGAATGGATGATCCATCTCTGGCCAGTCCTCAATCCACGGGTCTAGGAATGGGATGATTGTTTTAGAAAGGCCTGAGAAGCCAGACTGCCCTGAACTCTGGTTAGCCACACTTCCAGAGTTCTTCTCTATTCTCTCAGAGAACAGGGCTACCAGGCTGGAGTACCATGTACCTTCCACCTAGTTTTCCTCATTCTCTCACATTTTAGGCCAAGCTCAAGATATGCTCCTTTTTTCTTGCTTCACATTTCCCACTCTTCTGACTCCATCCTTCCCTCCCACACCTATTTCCTGTGCTTGTTCAATTCCTGAATCTTTAGCTTTTTCCTCTCCCCAACTCCTTCCCACAGACCAATAAATAAGCCAAATATAAAGATCTTGTTCTCCCTATTGGCCCCCCTTTCCTTACAAAGTTCTACAAGGACCATTTTGTCCCATTTCCATGTCCTCATCAATTGCTCACCATCTCTTTGGACCCTACTCCATGCCTTCAATGCATTTCCTACTAAAGGCAACCATTCATGGACATATTTAACCAATGGTCAACAGCCTCTGTCTTCCTTGAAAGTGCCTCTCTATCTTCACCTCCTTGTGTCTGCCATCAGTCCCTCTTTCCTGCCAATCTGAAGTGTGAGTACTGTTCTGCTTTCTTCTTCATGGTTCATACTCATACCCTCTACTTCTTGCCTGGTATCTAAATACAAATCCCCTGTATTTCCACAGTACCTCAGACAGATCTGCCCTAATCAAACTCATCAACTCATCCTTCCACCTCAAATCAATTCTTCCATTGAATGTCCTTAATTACTGTAGCTTCAAATTAGATTCAGAAGACCCAAGACACCACAAATTAGCCTTAAAACCTTTTCTTTGCTGGGATCAACTCTGTCATCTATAAAACAATAAAAGTCCTAATTCACCTCCCCGATGGATGCTCCAACTCCTGGCTACTAAGTTCTGGAGATCTGCCCGTATGATATTCCCAGCCTCTCTGTGTCCCCCACCCTTGTGCTGAGACAGTTTCTAACATAACTTATGCCTCCTATTCAACAAACACTGTCCTCTTGGAACTGTGTACAGAGTGACTGTGCTAGACCCTGGGATGAAAGGGGTGAAATGTGAACAAGTGAGGCAGGAAACTAGTCTTTTGAAGACAGGATGGAGGGGAAAGGCAGACACAGAAACAATCAGCCATGATGCCCCAGGTGTGAAGAGGCAGGGACTGGGAGGCTAACAAGGAAACAAATGTTTTGCAGTGTAGAATGTTATGGCTTAGATGTGATGGGAACAGTACCCCAGAACAAGCAGGAGGGGTAGAACCCTCAGAAGCCTGTGCTAGTAATGAGTGATAGGGCCAAGGACAGCAGTTCTAAGCTGCAACCAATGACACTGGGACCCTGAGGCTGAGATGAGCCAACAGGATCTTGTCCACTGAACCCATTCCTGTGAGAATAACCTGCATCATGTCTCTGCTCAGCAGTCTTATAGCTGACTGCTCCCCCTGGTCCTCTTGCCTCTGCCACACTGCCTCGACTACCCTTCCTCCATTTCTATCTTTCCATACTCCACACCTGTGCCTAGCTAAAAGTACACCCATTTTTTTCCCTGTTCACCTGTTGAGTAGAATTTTTTGACACCTGGCCTAATACAATAACCAATGCTTGCATAAGCTCACTCATGTAAACAGAGGAACTACACAATTGGACTGTAAAGAACTGGACTCAGACTAAAATGTTGTTCCTATGAGCTAACCCTCCCCAGAGGATGATGAAGGCACACTCAGGAGCCATGACAGTCCTTCAGAGACCCCAACTCTCTACCTCTGTTCCGTTCCTTTCTTGAGTCCTATGTTCTGACAGCCCTACCTGCATCACTACCCAGCCCCTCTGTGGTAGGGCTCACCAGGGGGACGGTCACGCTTGGGCAGTTCCACACCCCAGGCATCAGCCACATGGGTCAGAAGCAGATGTGAGAGGTGGCGGTGTGCATGCTGGTCCCAATGGACACCGTCTCGATGGCGGTGCCGTACTGCATGCCGGAAATGAAAGTGGAGGTCCAGGACATCGAAGCAATGGTCCCCGGCCAGTGTAGCGCTGTAGAAGTTGCCCTCAACTACATCCCGTCGTAGAGTGCCCGCCAGTGGCTGAAGCTGAGAGAGAAAGTGCAGCCTCTATGAGGGTCCCCTATCTATCAGCTAGTTTTTCATCCCCTGTCCAGAAAGGCCCCAGTTACTTGCCTCTGGCAAAAGAAAACCCCCAGTGATGCGTTTGCCTAGGGGCATTGCCATGTTCCACACCAGCAAACAGGAGTCTGGCAACACTTGGTCCATGCGCACAAACACTCGTTCCAGGTTCTCTCGGTAGCTTTCCATTGAGCAACGGCCATACCTATTACATAACACAAAGGGTGGGCAAGGAGCACAGGGGAAGAGCCATACCTCCACCTCCAACCTGTATTTACCTCTCCCCTGCCCCAACCTGGAGAGATCCCAGAGGCAGGAGTTGATGATCACCAAGTCGGGGGCAGGCCCATATGTCAGCTCCTCCAGGACGTCCTCAAGGTACTCAGAGTAAACGCGGGTGAGGAAGTAGAAGCGTACAAGGTGGTGGCCAGAACCCGAGCAGAACTGGCGGACCTCGCGATACTGTGTCCCGTTGTGCAGCTCACCCAGTTGGCCCCCAGCCACCAGCTGGTCCTGTTCAAAGCTCAGCTCCCCCTGCCCACCCCCAACCCTGCTGGTCAGACCCATGCCAGGGAGGTGGACCCTGCCAGGCCAGGGTCTGCACCCACCCACCACTGGCATAGCTGCAAAGCCTCCCTCACCTTGGCTTTCAACTGGGCAGCTGTGAGCAGTGAGTCTTTCTGGAGCAGAAGCACCAGGTCCTTATACACAGCTCTCTGGACTGCAGGGAGACAGTGATTCCCAAGGCTGAGGCAGACCTTGCCCCATCCCAGCTCTTCCCAAGTCTAAGCCTCCCATCTTCCCAGGGCTGGGCTGCCCAACACCAGCTCCATGGAATATTCACTTAGGTACAGGAAAAAAGGGAAGATTTAAAAGCCCTGGCACTGCCTGTTCTTTCTATTTGTGCCCCTCTCTGTCAAAGTAGAATATGTGACCCTAGATCACCTGGCAAAGTCAAATTGGTCAAGTCCCCCAGGAGACACATGATACAGCCCATAGCTCCTTTTGGGGAGATCATGGGAGACTGTGAGGGAGAGAAAAATGCTAAGCAAGGATGGGCAAAAAGTGCACAAGTTACATGTCAAGACACCTGTGGAAGATGTGTAGGGAATTAAAAAGGGGGGACATCTATTTAACTAGAACAGACTAGGGGGCAGAGAGACCTGAGATGGAGGCAAAAGGTGCAAACATAGAAACAGGTTGCAGATGCAGGTTTGGGACGCGTCATTTTAGAGGGGGCACTCACTGGAGTCCCCCAAGATGACCACGAACTTGTTGTGTAGCAGCTGCTGGACTTCTGAGGCCTGGAAGTGGACCATGGCGCTTCGCAGCGGGCGGTGCGGCACCTCGTTTTCCAGACAGAAGACCATGCCGCCACCGACAACGACGGGCTGCAGAGAGAGGCCACTAAGCCGCTCGAGGGCGGGGACATGGAGCAGGTCGGCCCCAGGGCCCGCCCTGGGATAAACGAGGCCTGCGCCAGCCCCTCCCAGGCTGCTCGGAGCTACAGAGAGGCGGCTGCGGCGATAGAGGGGAGCCCATGGCAGCGCCGGCCTTGGTTAAACTCCGTGCGGGAGGCGGCGGTCGCCGGGCCTGCAGGCCTCCAGGGCACTGTGGCGCTTCCCGCGCGGCGGCGCCGCCCTGCGCCCCGCCACGTGCCCGCTGCCCCGCGCATGCGCGCGCGCCCGCTCGCGCCAATTACCGAATCCCGGGGCTCCGCGCAGTTCACCGGAGAGTAGTGCGAGACCGCGCACTGCGCGCCTGGCCCGCAGCGGGCTCCAGGTCTAGCCTCATGTTCCCGCGCCCAGGGAGGCCAGTCGGTTCTGCAAAGCCCCCGCCCTGCAGAGCCCTTGCGCCCTGGTTAGCTGTCGGTGCGCAGCCCGACGCCCAGCGCTCTCCATGCGTGCGTCGCGGTGGCCCCGACGGCGCCTCGGGCTTCGGCGCCCCAGGCGGCGTCGCTCACAGCTCCCACTTCCGGTCACCCATGTCACCCCTGCGCACCCTCAACGCCCGAGGGGATGGAAAAGCGGCAGGGTCAGCTGCTAAGGGGCCCAGGAGCCAGGGTCAGGCCCACCCGGGCGGGTGGGAAGCCCGGTGCGGGCGGGGGGCACGGCGACGGCCGACAGCAGCTGCCCACAGTGGTGATGGCCGCAGAGGCGGCCTCGTCACGTGACCCGGACGGGCGGAAGCGGAAGTGCCGGCCTGGAGCCCGCGCTAGGTGGCTGTCCTAACATTGCCCAGCCGCTGTCTGCACCAGCCATGGACTGCTACACCGCGAACTGGAACCCGCTCGGGGACTCTGCCTTTTACCGGTGAGCCGCCCCGCCCTCCTGCCTACAGCCCGGCTTACCTCGCTCGCCCGCCCGCCGGCTCGGGTCTCCGGGTAGAGCCGGCGGCGTTCACCCCTGTCACTATGGGCGCTGGGGTCCGCCCCGTGCCGGCTCTCCCTGTCAGTCAGTCAGGGACTTAATGCACCGCTGCCTCTGGGCAGGGAGCCGGGCCTGCTTCAGAGAAACGACCGAGATGAGCGGTTGCCACTCCCAAGTTTAGGTCTGTCAGCCTCCGGAAGGATGCTCAGATCTCGTTGAAGGAGGCCGCCCGCGGTGACAGCGAGTACCCAGTCTCCTGCTGGAAAGTGCTGCTGAAGTCAGACCACAGGGGCGCTCGGAGGGGGGCGGGATCGCACGGCGGGCGGGGTGTCTGTGCTGACCAAGGCAGGGAGTAGGGGGCGAGTTGTCAGTGAATCCTGGAACAGCGCAAGTGAGGACCCCCTGGTCCGGGGTAGCCTTCCCGCGAGAGTCCTAAACCAGGGATTTTCATTAACTTGTAAAACATCGTTAGCCTGATCAGGATTTTTCAACAGCTTCCCTTTGTAAACTAAAATACAGTCTATGTGTTTGTCGGCCCGTATTTGTGTCTTCAACCTCATCTGTTGCTCTCTTATCCAAAGCTTGTGTTCCAGCTGCACAGAATTTCAGGGCCCCAACATACAGTGATATTTTATGGCTTTCTATGTTTGTATCAGCCTACAGTTCTTTCTGTGGGCATTGCCATTTCCCTCTTTAACTCACTGAAGAATTCTTGCTCATCTTTCAGGACTTAGTTCAAGAGTTCTTTCTAGAACCTTCCTTCGCCCTGTCCCGATTGAAATCCTTTAGGCTTCACAGGGCCTGGTGCTAAGATCTGTTATATGTGATACAGTAGGGCAATATTTGTGTGAGTTCCTTTTGCTAAACCAAGCCCTTTGAGGGCTGATATCATGTTTCTTGCATTTTTTTTTTTTTATCTCCAGTGCATGTTTAGAAGTGTCTTCTGTGTAACAGTTTTCCAATTAAATTTTTAAAGAATAATTTTAGAGTTGGGAATATAAATCAGTGGAAGAGCCCTTGCCTTTAGGGAGACCCTGGATTTGATCCCCAGCACTGGGTGGGGGGGGGAGATATCATATGAATTACAATTAAAAGATCGCAAAGACATTGCATCAGGATATTTTTTCAATAGAAGATATTCATTTCTGCTGATGAAACTACTATTCTTACTCATGTATTCAAACTTTTAAATGTAATTTTTGATTTGCAACATGATACACTTCCTAGTTAAATGCCTGGTAACAATTTTTAGAGATCTGTTGCATTTATTCATGATAATTCTCACGAATTATCATGAAATATGCCTATACAATATGAAAAAATTGCAAAAGTTTACTTAAAATCAGTAGGAAATACTAATGATTTTATGTGTTTCAGTAGAGAAGAGATACCAGCTGACAAAGTTAGCATATCATTTAGTGTTCACTCACCACCTAGTTAACACAGCATTCACTTTTTAAAATATTAATTTGTAGTATTCTTGAAAATACATATTGCCTGCCCAGGTCTGTTGAATCAAAGACAAAAGACAATGTCCTCATTACCACTGAACTCCTGTTTAGACCACTAAAGTTTTTTTAAAACATCTAAGTCTTGAGTGCATACCATTGACCTGGAGCTGGTTGGCCAATCTACCCTTACCTGTTCTGTACTGCCAGAAAGGATTAAGGGTCTTAATCTTGCTGTAGAGAACATGTTCTAAGTTGCTAACAGATATTTAAACTTTCTTATCTACTAGACGCTATCCTGAGTACTTGTGTGTTGATTTGCTTAACCTTAACAACTTCATAATGTAGGCATCATGATTAGCCCCATCCTTTTGATGAAGAAGCTGAGGGTCACAGAGGCCAGGTTACAGTAGACCAGGTTATGTAGCTAGTAAGTGGTAGAAACAGGATTTAGACCCAAATGGTCTAGTTCTAGACTCTGCGCTAAAGCATAAGAATTGTTTTGTTTTTTTAAACAGGAAAATATAAGAACATGTTCTAGTTTCAGTACTGAAAATGCTTTAAGTAAAGGTTCTTTATTTTCTTCATATTTGTACAATCCTAGGACATATTTGTATTCTAGTACGTGAATTGAATGATAAGCAGGTAGGAGACATTGCATTTTGAGTCCTACTGGCAGGACAGGATTCTTCTGCACTAGAGGTAGTATTCTGGAAATTCTGAAATTGGGGAAGGCAAAGAGAGAAAATGGTGACCAGGTCTTATGGGACTCTAAATCTAGACTTTTTTAGTTCTGGGAATTGAATCCAGGAGGCACTGAGCCATATCCCCAGTCCTTTTTTTTATGTTTTATTTTGAGACAGGGTCTCACTAAGTTGGTTAGGGCCTTATAGATTACTGAAGCTGTCTTTGAACTTGCAGTCCTCCTGCCTCAGCCTCCTGAGTTGCTGGGATTACAGGCATGCACCACTATGCCTGGCAGAAGTCTAGCCTTTTTATCCTAAAAATACAACTTGAGCTATTGCCATTATTTAATTTGACCCAGCCTTTGCTAGTTTGAACTTGTATTGACCAATACAACAGACATGTACTCTTCCTGTTCTCATAGGGCTAACAGTCACAGGGCAAGACCATTAATAACCATTAGGTATTTGTTTGGTCTTAGTCACTATGAAGGATAATCACTGAGGTGTAGGAGCACATACCTTAAGAAAGCATATAAACTGGGTATGGTGGCACACATCTGTAATCCCAAATACTCGGGAGGCTGAATCAGGAGGATTGTAAGTTTGAGGCAAGTCTCAGTAACTTAGTGAGACATTTCTCAAAATAAAAAGGTCTGGGAACATAGCTCATTGGTATGTGTCCCTGGATTTAATTCCAATATAAAAAATGAGAGAGATGAAGAGAGTGGGAGTGGGGGAAGATAAAGAAGACTTTTCAAAAAAAATATTTCTTTTTTAGTTTTAAGTGGATACAATATCTTTATTTTATTTTTATGTGGTGCTGAGGATTGAACCCAGTTCCTCACATGTGCTGGGCGAGCACTCTACCACTTGAACCACAACCCCAGCCCCCAAGAAGACTTTTTTTAAAAGAAAGAATAATGTCCCATCCAAGAGATAAGTAGACTTAAGTGCAGGGGGAGGGTTAAAGAAGAGCATATACAAAAGTCCTGAGGTAGGAAGGTCTGAAACACTCCCAGTGACCTAAAAAGCCAGTGGGATTGGAGTGCTACAGGCAACAGGCAAGACAAAAGCTGAGGTTGATGTCCTTCTTTTAGGAGTCACACTCTACAGGAACTTATAGACCATCTTATTTGAAAAACGTGAGAAATTTAAATTAAGGAAAAGATTAACATGAATGGATTTGCACCGCTTGGGGATTGTTGTGTGTTTTAAGTTCCTTCTGGAGGCAGAAGATGGAAGTAATTGGAAGAATGGAAACAAAAGAGACTGAGTAAGGAGCCTAGGGAGAAGTTGTGGGTGGTGAGCACTGGGTTAGTGATGGTAGGTGTGGAAGGGGCCTGAGCAATTTAGTTGGTGAAACAGAAGGAGGTTGTAATGACTGCACTTGGGAGGGAGGAGGAAAAACAAGGAATCAAGGATGACTTTGAGTTTTGGCTTCAAATCATGAAAAAGGAAAAGTGAGTTTGGCAGAGAAGAGAGTGAGCACATTGACTTTCAAGCTTTTCAGAAACATTCTTATGGTAAAAGAAAGGATTATGAATCCCTGATGTTCTTAGAAGAGAGGAAGACTATTTTAGTACTATACTTGTGTTTTTGTTTTGCTTTTTTGCTAATATAAACAAATGTTTTAAAAATTGGGTTAAATACACATAATATAAATTTATCATCCTATTTTTTAATGTATTCAGTATGGTTAAGTATATTCACAGTGTTGTACCACCAATTTTCAAAACCTTTTCATCTTGTAAAACTGAAATTCTGTACCCATCAATGGCAACTCCTCACTTTCCCCTCCCCCAGCCAGTGGCAGCCATCATTCTATTTTCTGTCTCTATGAATTTGATTGCTCTAAGTACCTAATAGTAAGCAGAATCATATAACATTTGTCTTTTTGTGACTGGCTTACATAATGTCTTCAAGGTTCATTGCCATTATAGCATGTCATAATTTCCTTCTTCTTTTTTAATATTTTGTATTGGGGATTGAATCAAGGGGTGCTTTACTACTGAGCTACATCCCCAGCCCTTTTTATTTTTTATTTTGAGACTGAGTCTTGCTGAGTTGCTGAGGCTGGCCTTCAATTTATGACTCTCCTGCCTCAGTCTCCCAGGTTGCTGGGGTTACAGATCTGTGCTACCACACCTGGCATTTAGCCATATTTTAAGGCTAAATAATATCCCATCATATGTATATACCATAATTTGCTTTTCAGTTCTTCAGTCAAGAGGCACTTGGATTGTTCTCACCTCTTGGCTATTGAGAATAATGCTGGCATAAACATGGTGTACAAATACCTTTATAGTAGGGCTAGAGTTGTAACTCAGTGATACAGTGCATGCTTAGCATGCATAAGGCCCTGGGTTGGGTCCTTAGTACCCAACAACAACAAAACCTTTTTGAGACAGGTTGGAGGAATGGGATTTCAGGGGTGACAATGGGTTCTCTTTAGGGACTAGGGATTTGGGGATTATTGGGTTTTCCTAAATCAAGATCTGATGTGCTTCTCTCTCCCCAGGGCTTTGATACTCCAGCCTGTTTCACAAAGGGGCTCTTGTCACATCATGGTGCACCATGATGCTCCAGCAGTTCAACTGCATTGCCATAGGGATTTCTTTACTGTTTCTTGCAGGAGCTAGAATTGAGGCTGCCAGGACAGTCGGTAT